CTGCCCTGGAGCGCCCCGCCCGCCAGGGTCGTGTATTAACGTGCTACACCGGGCCGGGAGGGGGGAGGCGGTAAAGAAAACGACAAACGGGCAGTTTACGTTGGGGGCCCAAAGTCCGCAAGGGGAGGGGGCTGTCTGCGGGCCGCGCACCGGCGGGCGAGGCGGTGCCGCTGGCTTGTTACTGCCGGGTGTGCCTGTCCCGAGGAGTTAGGTCATTGGGCAGGTTATCGCTGCGCGGGTCACCCAGACCCCCCCCCCCCGAGTTATGGGCCAAGGGGCAGGTGTTTGTTGGCGGGCACGGCATTAGCTGGTCTTCGAGAGCTGCAGTAGAGCGGCGCGCTCAACCCTTTTCTCTCCCCCCCGCTATAAAAACTCGCGGGAAGGAAGGGGGGGGGGTCAAAAGGCGTTACCCCCGCAGGGCTGCCAGGGGCGCCGCAGGGCTTGCGGGGGGGGGAGTGTCCTCGACGTTTCCGTCCCACAGTGCACTGTGGCTCCGGCGTTTAGACCCACAGGGGGGACCCAGGCCCCTTAAAACCACATCGTGAACCGTAGAGCATGGTCACCCCCTCCCTGTGAACCAATTCACTTAAGCCCTTGCAGTTGTGGCTTCAAGACCCAGACTGACCTCAGCTCCTCTGATTCCCAAACCAGGAATTTTACACACTGACAAGGTCTTTAATGCTCTACCCTCACATTGACCAAGAGGCCTAGGCTAGTACACAGCTGCCTCTGGGCACATATAAGCAGCTGGTTATCATATTTAAAAAGGGGAGGAAGGAAAGTTCCATCCTATTCCAACTAGGCTCTCGCTCACCCCCTCCACCATAACTGTTCGCTGCCTCATCGCCTCCCTCGGCGTTCTTTCACAGCACTGTCTAGTTACTCACTTACCGGGAAACACTCTGCAGGATCCTGGGACACAAGGGGCCCAGGGAGGGAGTTGACCTAATTTCTGTACTGGAAGGTTAATAATGTGATGTTTCTGGCTCTAGGGGGCACAATCTAGCCCCACATTGCTTCTTCATATTTTTTTAATGTACCTTTGAAAAATTCCACCCATTTTTCGGCTGCAGTATCTCAAGCCATGAATGGAAGCAATGCTATTCTACTATATGTGAATGACACAAAAAAGCAACCAACATGCAGCGCTCAAGTATCAGGGCCTACCACAGTTAGGGTTGCCTCACAAGCTTCTCTGCCACCTTCCCTCATAACTGCATTGTAAACTGTGAGCCTGATTCAAAAAAATCTCCCTGACCTCTAGTGTAAATTAGGAATGTAATTTCATTGCAATTAATTATTGAAATGCCCTCCCCAATCATCCTGTACGAGAGTTACATGCCTCAATGTGCAACCCCATAACCTTTCAAACTAGGGATGTAAATAGGGGTCAAAAATAGTAACCATGTAATCTATTAAAATGTTATAAAACAGTTAACCTTTAAGGAGTTCACCCCCCCCTTTTTAAATACATAGTTAATTCTAGTGATGGAGAGATGATGTGTTATTACACATATTATATAAATCTTTTGCTTAGTTTGGTTAGAGTAGGGTAGTTCTGCTCCACCCCATGGCAAACATGTGTATTTCTTGCCCCTATACATTTCCTTCTGATGGGTTGCTGCATCTTTCTACTGCCTAAAATGTTATTCTGCTAAAACTTGTATGGGATGTAGATACTTCCCCAGAAGGAAGTCTCCTTATGCAGGAGGCAGTGTTGAGCAAGACACTAGAGAAGGGCTCTGGGAAAATGACACACACAGCTCATGTAGCAGTGCTGCCAGATGTACGTCAGCCCACATCTGCTCCCTTTTTGCAAATGAAGAGGGTGGCGCCTAATTAATGGGCTCAGTCCTCCTTCCACAGCACAGTCTCAGTCAGACCTATCAACAGACCTCTCAGAACAGTCATCTGGGCTCCCTAAGGATTTAATCTTTGTTATTTTTGCACATCCTGGGGTTTTTGAGGGATTACTCCCAACCCTCATCTGCTTTTCCACTACATCTTCAGCAAGAGCAAGGGATGAAGAACAAGATACCCTTAACCTTATAGGAAGTCTTCTCCTAAAACGGCTCCTGCAATATTGGCTAGACCCTCGTCACCCAATTTCCCATGTTCAGCAATGCTTCCTGACCCTGACAAAGCTAGAGAAGATGAACATTGGAAGTCTACCTTCTGTCTCTTCTGTATAAGAATGCATTATTGCATCCTCTTCCCCTCTGAGTGACCCCAGAACCCCCCAGCAGCTGGCAGCAGGATGATGGCAGTATTACACATTTCTTTGGTATCTTTGTCAAGGAAAGTCTGAAAATTCTGACATCTTCAAGGAAAGGAAACAGCAGCCCACCTTAACAGTGGTGGTTCATCTGAGACAGCTGAGGAAGGTCTGAGTGGCCCTGCTTTTGTAAATCTGATTAATAGAATCATAGAAGATTAGGATTGGAAGAGACCTCAGGGGGTCATCTAGTCCAACCACCTGCTCAAAGCAGGACCAAACCCAACTAAATCATCCCAGCCAGGGCTTTGTCAAGCCGGGCCTTAAAAACCTCTAAGGATGGAGATTCCACCACCTCCCTAGGTAACCCATTCCAGTGCTCAAGACCATGCTCCTTGTTCTGCCACCACTGAGAACAGCCGAATTCCATCCGCTTTGGAACCTCCCTTCAGGTTGTTGAAGGCTGCTATCATTTTTATCAGGTCTCAAAGGGTGCTTTGACTTATTTTTATCAGCACCTGGCATCTGGCTCACTCGCTGGTTTTGGCTGACAGAAGTAAATTCAGTTCAGTCAAACCTTTGTTCTAGGAGATAAATAATCCAGGCAGTTTGATGCTTTGGACTGAAAAAATCTATTCTTATTTAAGGCTTGCCTACAAAGGAGATTTTTCAAGGATAATTATACCAGTATAACTACAGTGCTTAAACTATGTGGGTATAACTCCCCTATATGAAGGCTCTTAAGATGTGTCTACACTGCCACTTTCAGCGCTAAAACTTTCGTCATTCGGGGTGTAAAAAACACCCCTGAACGAGAAAAGATTTAGCACTGAAAAGTGCCAGTTAGACAGCGCTTTATCAGCTCCCGGAGATAAAGCTACCACCGCTCATTACGGGTGGTGGATTTTTTTTTTTATTGTTTTATTGCCGGGAGAGCTCTCCCCCAGCAATAAAGCATGTCTACACTGCCCATGTCACAGCACAGCCGCAGCCGCGCTGTAACGTGGGTAGCATAGACATACCCTTACTCTGGATTAAGACTGGCCTTTTGCAGTTTAGCTTAAACTGCTTCTGAAACAACATAAGGTAAACTGGAAAAAGACACTCATATCAAAATAGGAGTATCCACACACTGATTTTCACAGATGTAGTTACAGCACTTTAAATTCATCCCTGATCTTACACATCATTATAATTTCTCTGTGCAGACAAGTCCTTGGAGCAGATACAATTTTTAGCAGTTTAACCAGATACGCCTACTCATTGTCCCAGTAACCTCCAGGGCTTAATATATTCTGGAAAATAAAAAGAAGTTCCTCTATCTAGTTGGAGAGCTAGGAACACTCTAAGCATGCCTTGAGAGCATCTTTTGATCTCTCTGATGGAGCAGCCAGTTCACTTGCTTCTGCAGTGACTCCAAGAAGGCATGCTTGGCTCCACAACTGCAGCTAATCACCTGAGGATAAAGTCAGAGTTCTAGGCCTCCTGTTTGAGGACTGGTATTTTCAGGCTAGACAGATGTGGTGCAGTAGAACCTCATAGGAATGCAGGGGAGGCGGGTCTCCCTTGGTAGGGTTGAGAAGGAGGTAGGTGGTGTAGGATATTGCTCTTCTCATGTGATCCCTCCACCAGTGGCTAATTTTAATGAAGCTACCCTCCCCTGACATGAATCTCCCTATGGCACTGAAATTAAATATAGACTATAATTTGGAATTTGACAAGTGAAAGGGACGGCAGCCCTAATGGAAGAGCTAACAGCTTGACTCTTCTGCAAGCCTCAAACTGCTGAATGAGCTTTAGGGTAGGGAAGGGTGTGCCTCCCAAACAGCCTGGCCCTGCCCCCTATCCGACCCCCACCCACTTCCTGCCCCCCGACGGCCCGCCTCAGAATCCCCAACCCATCCTGCTCCTTGTCCTCTCACCGTCCCCCAGAGACTTCCCCAACCACCCCACCCCTGCTCCCTGTCCCCTGACCGCCCCCCCCCCCATCCTGCCCCTTACCCCTGGCTCCCCCCTCACCCGGAGCGTCCCTGGATAGTGCTGCAGCGTGGCTCCGGTGGGGCCTGAGCTCCTCCCCACTCAGAGCCGCTTGGTAAGGGGGCGGGGCTGCGAGCTCCACCGGGGCCTGAGCTCCCGCTGCTTGGCCCGGAGCTCGCAGCCCCGCCCTCTTACCATGCAGCTCTGAGCGGGGAAGAGCTCAGGCCCCGCCAGAGCCAGGGATGCTCCTGGATGCGCTGAGGCTCTGGGAGGGTCGGGCCGGGGAGGGAGCCTCAGCCATTCTCATGGGGGCCCCTGTGGAGCCCGGGGCAAATTGCCCCACTCCCCTCCCCCCCCCCCCCTCCCCCGAGCGGCCCTGGGCACAGTACAGTATAG